CAGGATCCCTTGATCTCGTTCACACAGTTTAAATTTCAACGCATGTTCTAACCTTGATTAGCTTCAGCATCGGAGTCAATTGTTCTTTACTGAGCAGATGGGCGCTGCCCTCGCGAACGACCAGTTGTTGGGCTCCGGAGGCGGTGCGTTTGATTTGACCAGCGCTAAGCAGCGTCGGCGTGATGATGTGAAAAAACTCATAACCAACAGATTGTACGTCCTTGTTCGAACAGGTGAAGTTATAGCAAACGGCTGCCAGCACCTTGGCAAACTAGGACGATCGAAGATGATGGATGAAACGAAATAACGAAAAAAGTCAAACAAACCGTACATCCATAAAACGGCTACGAAAGTCGTTACACTTCTTGATTATATACTCCCAGTCGCAAGTATTCAACAGGAAGCAGGAAACGAGCAAACTCATCTCGCTGTTCGGATCTACATCTGAAACATGCATTAACATCAAAAAGTCCTTTACTGCCACAGCGTAGGGCAATATCTTTAGTACTAAAAAATAATTACCTAAACAGAAAAGCAGTGCGTAACTGCTCACATGTCGGTGTACCTTACTATTCAACGATGAATGTCATTTAGGGCGCCGCATCGTCACGGAACGTTTCAATGCTACCAGTCAGAAATGTCACATTTTTAAAATCAATATCTCCAACTAGGAGTAAAGCATAATTTAGTAGAAACTGAAGAAACCAAGAAGCTTTGAATCACGTGCCACCCCGTTAATTGAAATTTGCGAAAAATAGTGCCTTTTCAATAAATTCGTATGCTAGTGGCAAGCTGCCAGTGAAGCTGATGCCCGAATAACGAGGAATATGACCCTTGGCACGAAATAATCACCACCTGCAGTTACAAATAAAAATCTCATCCTTATTTGAATTTGTACATGCGGCGTGCATTAAAAACTTCATGACTGCGATGGTTCTACGAGACACAAGCGGCTGTCGTGTGGCTCGTGGTCGACCAGCATAGTTATGCGGTTCAAACCTGATATGGTACTCGCATGTCAATGAAAGCAAGTTTCACCAGTGAACCGCTACTCACAACTCACCTGGCATTTTTTTGCACTCTGATATGTACGACTTTACTTTCAACGCCAATTCCTGCGTTAGCGTACTCAGCGCCTCAAGGTCGCCGCTTCGCCGCAACAATTCGTGCCATCGCACAAGCTCGAAACGCATTTGCTCGAAACGCACGTCAAGCGAGACTTCACCAATCACAGGCTGAATCTCTTTCACACAGAAATCCATCATCCGGCTGGCGGATTCCATACACTAAACAGCGAAAAACGTTGTCATTCGTGAGCATCACATACACGGAAACGTTATATGCCATGTACTGATCTTATTTGCCTGCGTTATGAGATGACTAATCAACGCCACTAACACGATCGATTCAGTTACAATCAGACTACCTATTTCTTAAAAGGCAGATCATCAATGTGAATAGTACGCATTAATTCAATGTTTTGCCGCAGAAGTCCTGACATTAAGATACTGTTCGGAAACCAGTTCTTGAAGTAGCTTACGTTCTCTTGGGTTGCATGTCTTGTCCGTCAACTGCAGTACACCTTACATACCGAACACAGTCCTAAGTGCCAGCCAGTTACCTATTTTCTAAAGGCTGCTGTAAAGAGTCTATACCTGGACATTGTAGAGGCTGCGTACGTTATGCCTAGAATGTTACATTACTATCAATATTTTTTGAAACTTGCCCTGATAGTTAGCGTCCTGGTTTTAAAAGTGAAAATCCTTTCTCCGGCATATGTGCATATATGGGCACCAGAGCAGAGCTTGCGGAATTCAACGTGACGTTCGTTTGCCAATGTATTAAATTTCCGTATCAAGTGGGCCGTGCAAACTCTGCCACTGTGTTAGTCCATAACAAATATTACCGAATGGCTTTAAGTCGTGATTCGCATGTTGAGTAAATATACAGAATGCTTTATCATATATGAAGACCTCAGTAACAACGGAAACATGGTTTGTAACAACGGAAACAGCTGCATGAGATGCTCACTTTGTCCACAAGTGTATGTGCGACGGAGAAGAGGGGACAAAAGAAATAAGTCATATAACACTGCACATTGGCTTTACCCAGATATCACTCTAATTTTCTTCAGAAATATTACTTTTAACACAGATGTTTCACAGCACTGCAATACAGAAAGTACATCACCAAATATGAAACCGCTTATTCACCGGTTCACCGGAAACTGACATCATGAGCAATTGTACAAGTCCATAGGTTTCCAGCGGGTAAGCCTAACTGATGGGTATGCCTAACTGTTTGTAAATTAGACTTTAACCGACGACTACTACTAGTGCAGGTACAAACATGACAGCTTATGAATAAATAAAAAAGCGGGGCCGTTGTCAATAAACAAAAAAAAATTGGACTACTTACGCCAAGATTCGCCAACTGTTGAACTTTACAACAAGCAAGTTCCACAACGTCGTGATAAACCCCTCGTGGGAGGCGCATCAACGTATCTTGCATGGTCAGCGGCACAGTATACTAAACAAAAGAGAAGACAAAAATTTAAACGTGTTTAATAAACGTTTTAAGGCTGAGTAAGGTATGGTCAAGCACAGCAAATAAATTCTTAACTTACATGCTGTGAAAGACGGTATTTCGCGAACCGTAGGACAAGCGATTTCAACTCTTCTGGATCGAAACTTTTCATTATCTGCCAACTGATATCCCAGTTCTTTGTGAAAGCTGAAATACACATATAATCTTCTGCACTCATCAGATAATCATCGTTAGGTCTAATAGACATTCATCAAATTTAGTTAATAGCCTAAACTAGTATCCACTAAAAACTGTATTAGTCCAGGACTCATCTAAAAAATTTAGTATACGCCACTCTTTGGGTTCGCATCGATTGTTTACCCTGAGTATGATCAATGCTGTTTGGCTGAAACCTAGCATGTCAAATACATGCTTTAATGTCAGTTCGGTATGCCGGCCTATCATAATCGAATCGTTAATACTCGATGAAGATAAAATCCAAGAGAGATTTCGAACTTATACTAAAAACTCATGAGTACTTTCAAAACTTAAGTACTTTGCACTTATTACTTATTAATTTACTATAAATCGACGAATGCGTAAGCACTTCCAATCCGGAACAAACCCCAATATTTTCTTCATTTTGCACCTAACTATCAACAGCAGAGCGCCGAACTCACAGTCGAAAGATCATAAGTTCCAACTACTAGAGGATCAGTTATATCCTTCATCTTTCATCCATCTAGTAATAAATATCATTAAATTTTAAGATAACAACAGACTAATAAGCATATTCTAATCTGGAAGAGATGCATGCACGAACTATGTCTAGTGTGAAAATTGAAGGAGAGATAGCTGAATGGTTCTCTTACTTGCGAAGTTCGCCAAGAAGATGTACTTAGCCTTTGCTACTCAACATTGTTATCCATTTTCATCTCCGAAACAATGCTCCGGCAAAGATGAAGGTCTCATTATACAGAAAAGGCGTAGTTCAGTATATGCGGCTAGGTCTTTCTGACCTAGAGTAAGTAGATGATAATGACCTGATGAGTAGTACGGGAAACCGGCTCTGTCATATGACGGTTTCCGTATGCAACATAACTGTGAAAGCCGGCCTCTTCCTTGACACCAGGAAGTCAGGAGCTATGAAAAACCCATCCGGCAGAGTTGATCCAGAAGTGAAACGGGGATGTAAACGCTGACGAAGGCATGGCAGCAAAAAAAAGGACTACATGTTTCAAACGAAAACATGTTACCCGCGTTTCGCAACTCTGGAAAAGGAGGAAAACAAGATGACGAAGGAGAGACGAGAAATGGATGAAAAAGAATAAGATGGAAATTTTATTGATGATTTGTTGAATTCGACTTCAAGGTCAATACAAGTGCTTTGATAGCAGCCTATCCCAACTATAAACAACAGTGCACGCAAAACAGAACATAGCTCAGTAGCAAAGAGATCGACTAAATTCCTAAACTTTGCATGCGATACCTGGTTCAATGTCTTCGATGCTCTCAATCGAAGAAATAGCTGTTGCAACGTCATCCCGTGTGCCACCTTTTTCTGATAGCGAACTCGACGGCACATTCCAGTCGAGGAGACACTTGAACAGGTCATCATGGCTAGAAATTTTACATTCCCGTCTAAGAAACTGTAATACGTTAAGTTCGGCAAAAAGAATGCGACAGGAAAAAAGGCTACCTTAAATTGGCGATGATCAGCTCCCATTCCTGAGGCATGCACGTGCTACGAATTATTTGCAGGGCCTTAAAACAGAAACAAATGCATCAAAGCGAGCGCCAACATGTAGCTTACCCTTAATATGAAGTACTGATGCATGATGTATGTAATACGTAAAAGGCAGGAGTACAAAATATATTTCAGCAGTTAAATTTTGTTACTGTTTATAGAGTTCATTAGCTTACACCGTTTGTATTAACAGGTCGCTTTTCATTCTTCATGCCCAAGCATTCGAAGGTTGGCAAAAGAACACCCACTTTTCGAATACAGAGTAGATACTACCTTATTCATATATGTTGCGACACGCGATTCGGCTGTAGACTACTGGTGTTTCGGTTGCAGTACGACTATCTTTTGTCAGCAATGACTCATTATCAACTTGATTCTTTCACCAAACGCAGGTTTGTTTTCATTTTCAATCAACGACCATATACAAGAAAAAACCTCGTGCAGGACACTTGTGAAATACATAAAAAACATCAGTAGCGATTCATTTAACGCAGATTGATAACGAGCAAAGGGATGCCATAACCAATCAAGACTATAAGAAGTTAATCAGACGACTACAGGGCTAAGTACCATGATGCCATAGTCTGTTTCTGTAGCTTCCTGGGCATGGAAGAGCAAGGCCCACAGAATCTACATGTTTGGGAGTGAGAAAGGATAAAGTAAGGAATAACAGGGCGAGAGAAATAGCATGAATGTCAGCAGTTTTCTTCAGAGGCACCGCGACTTAAGTTCCAATCTTTAGCCTTGATGCATGACATTCTCAAGCTATTAAGGCAAACTGGCCAAACAGGAATCACACTGACCAAGCAGATTGAAAAATTTACCGCTTCTACCGTTATTTACTGAGCATAACTAAATCATTAATTCATGAACCTACCGTAGGAAACTTAGCGAGTATTCTTCCGTGTACGTATTAACATAATAAACACAAGACATATAATGACAGTTGCAAAACTGGCATAAAAATACGCGTTACTACAAACAGACGTCAAGAGTCTACCGAAACTTGAATCTACACATCACCCACAAAATTTATGCGTGAAAAAAAATATGTAAAACAGTATTGCACAGAATTTTACAAATTATAGCAAATGAATGAAAATAACCTGGCGAAAAGTAGCACGATTTTCGGGTATGTTTAAGAAGGCGAAAGCCGAATCTGGAAGTGTAGAACGCATTAATAACGTTGTGGCGATTCTTGCTGAGTAGATCATCGCATGAACGGCGAACTTCCTTGAGAGAGAAAACACATAAGATCACTCACTGAAGCTAAATTTGGTCATGCAATGAGGAAAAACGCAATCGGCCTCATTTATACCGAGAGTTCACAACAGAGGATTCGAAGAATTATTTTAGAGTGACCAAAATCGAAATGTTTATCCCTTTGGCAAAAAGTCGCCGTGAATTCGATAGGTGACAGTATCAGGTGAATGCGCTGTACCACGGCACCTGGCAGCTTTACTTTGGGGGGGGGGTACACATGCAAAGAGGTAACATACAACAACAGAGTATATGCAAAGAGGTAACATACAACAACAGAGTATATGCAAAGAGACTGATACAGTAAACTATACATTGGCCTCTTGTATTTCTCCATCATGTGATTAGTTGCTTACTGCAAATCATGTCCCACTACCGTTTAAACCGCGCTGGAACATGTGTCGTTGCGAAAGCTACCAGTGCAGTATGACCTATTGACAACGTGACGTCATGCGCTGGTACAAATCTAATAAATTTCAAGGCGGTCGCATCCGAATAGACTGAAGATCCATGACGAAGAGACAGCGAAATTGATGGCATGATTTTCGCACTGACTCCAAGTGGACACTTTGATCAAAAAATATTATCGCTGTATCAGAAATTGTTAGTTCTAAATTTATCTAACGAATACCATTCCATGAAGCGAGGGCGAGAGTACAAAACAAAGAGGAAACGCCCTTCAACTGATGATTCTGCTTAAACTTCAACTGAAGAATCTAGAAGACTTTATACTTCACTGAAAAACGTCGATTATTTCGACTACATAGCACATCCATAGGTAATTTGAACAACCAAAAGGGAAAAGTTTGGCACATTGATCGGGCAACAAAAATTTGGAAAGGGTTAAATTTTAGTAAAGGTGGGATGGCCATCTTGAATGAACGATACTCCATTCCGGGGAAAAAATAAATCCAATAATTTATCACTGGATGAGACAAACTTTCGTGCTTTTTGAGGACTCAAGCAAATACACATGAAGTTGAATTTGGATGTTCTTGCAGCATGTTTCTTGCCTGAAACAACATATTCCTCACAAAGCTATTGATAAACTGTGATCTCGTGAATGAACGGTAAAAGAATCTGTTTGAAGGACTATCATCAAGAGGATAAAAATTGTTTTTCAGTATGCTATTCCCCATACGGACATATGGACGTCTTGCTGAGACAAGAAAAGACCAAGCATTGTCAACGGACAAACTTTAAATACATGTTTATCAGTTATTCGACTGAACAAACTGGGTTGATTATACGACAAAAATAACATTGAAATTATGTGATAATAAGGATACGGTAAATATAACGTTAACGAATAAGATATGGTAAAGAAACCGTGATATGAAAAATGACAAAGATATATATATATATATATCTGTGCACAAAATGAACTGTGCGAATACATTCTACGTCTGGCCAAAAATACCTGGACTCCAATGCAGCCTGCTCGAGGCAGTATCTCTTCGTCAGCGACACCTTTTTGGCACTGATATCCTTGTAAAGTAAGTTTGCCGTCTAAGGTTTAAAAGATAGAAAGGAAGGTTAGCATCGCACCTGGAATGTCACTACCAACCTTATCATTGAGTATGGAATCCGTGATCTGACGGAAGTTCAAGTCATCGAAAGATTCGACGATCAGCTCTTGGCCAGGCCCGATTCCTAACGCAGCCTGGTAACCATTAATCTCAGCCTCGTTCATCGTGTAATGTTCTGAGCAAGAATTCAATGTCAGCTAAAAAATAAAGTTGAAAACCTACCGGCATGCAATCGAACGCAGTCAGTTTGTATTACTTTGGTCAACGGAATCGGAAATGTGCGGAAAAGTACTTGGCAACGATCACATTCGTTGATGCAGAAATAGTAAGCGCCGAGGTCATAGCAAATCTTAAAAGATGTGTATCTTCCGGCAGGAAGTACGAGGCGGATAAACATACTTGAAGTCGAAGGTCTTCTGCGGATAGAGATGTGCTGCGGTTACCGTTAAAATACACCATTTCAGAACCATCGTCAGGAAATTCAAAGCATTCCTCGACAACGACCGCGACATTGTGGAGCTTGCTTTCTGACTGAGAGACGTGTTCAAGAAGTTCAACGGATTCCGAGCAAAGTGGACCGATCTAAATTTACAGGAAGCACGTCAAAAAAATGCAGCCATGAGTCTAAGTAGCAGACTGTACCTCACGTAACGTGGCTGTCCTTGCTTCTGACATCACCTGACTTGGGTCGATTTGAGCGGATCTGAAGTACCGTAGTTAATAACAAACAAAGCAATAGAATACGTTAGCCAGAAATGGTTGTTATCGTCTTCCAGGGGACCAACGCTTACATGCTACAATGAAACCAATGTAACATGATATTCAGGAATGGTGACAGTGGCAAACAGGTCTGTTTTGAACTCCGGAGTTGTCGGGTTAGAATCTATTGAAGGGACAATCTTCATCATCACCGCGAAGTCCTTTGCGCCATGAATTCATCTCAGCGTTGCCGTGGTGCAACCAGCTAGGAAACGGATTCCAGGTCGTTGTTGTCTCAAGTCGTTGTTATTTCAAGTTGTTGAATCATGAGAAACAAGGAGAGTATGGCATTCTGGTGTTGTTACTTGAGAATGGGGTAGGTGTACCGTCATGTTATCTAATGCTAGCGCTTCTTTTGAATGCATCTCGCTTCGCCGTGACTAACCTAATAGCTGACTGACATGTCTCCTAATCATCACAAGGTGTAACTTCGATTTTGGATATTTGGAACTGCAAAAATTTCGTTCAGCAATGTGCATGATATCTTGACGAATACAAACGGAGAACAAGAAAAATACCTGTAATTGTGACGCACAACTTCAAAGATCCTTAATCACTTATAAACCGAAAACAAAAGGAATGACACACTTCTGAGTGTCAAAGAAATCTTGCATATGTAGAGACTGGGAAAGAATGAACAAAACAGTCTGTTGCTAAAATAACTTAACTAATTTTACAACGCCTTGCTTTGTAGGCAGAAAACAGATAAAGTAAAGGAAAATTCAGTGTACAACTTAGACGCAACAAGAAGTGCTACAGTAGCAGAAAATAAAACAAGGCAAAGTTGTTAATGCCGTTAAACAAGGATATGAACTACGGCATTAGTTAGCAGCTGCGTTGGCGTCTAAATTGTGTGTTCCTGAGAAATTCAGTTACTTAAATTTGGCACATTTGAATTTTTAAGAGGAATTGCTGGGTTCCCGCTGTTCGACATGGTCCAGCGTACAGATATCCGATAGAGCCACTGATTTGTGTAAAGCCATTGGTTCCCAAAATGAGAACTCGCAGCGTGATGATTTGGGCATATCTTATGAATGCTTCCATGAACGAAGACGAAATAGCTACTACTTGCACAGCCGACCGACCGAAGACCCCCGGAGATTGCCAAGAATGGCATGAGGCGATTGTCTAGACGGACTCAACTTCAGACTTGGGTAATCTTCTATCGAAGCTCAGATGCTGGAGCAAGACTGAAAACATTAGAGACTATGTCTGATGTTGCCGTTTCCGTTACCCGAAAAGATAATCGGCCATGAAAATTTACTGCCTGTCATCTGTCCATTATCCGTTGTACATGAAAACAGTTCAATCACCGCTAATATTACACTCCGGATCCTAATGTGAATAATGCTGCTACGCCCTTCTGAGTTCTAATGATACTATGCACTTAAACAACTAACTTACGGGTTAGACACGGTCAGCTTCGGTGGCGGTTGAGGAAACGACTCGCATACGACGGTATGCAATATCCTAAAAAGCACCTCGTCAAAGAATAAATCTAAAGAATCAGGTGCATCGTTCCATACCAGCGGGCCAGTAGAAGTGCTGCGAAACGCTGCGTTGGTTCCAATGAATCGGCTACTTTACCTTCCGTCAGTACTTCTTGGAAGTTTTGCTTGTGCCATGTCAGCAACAGCAGTTCTTCTAGCAACCGCCTTGTCAACAGCAGTCCTATCCTAAAGAACAACAAAGGAAATTGATTTAAAATTACTGTAATAATCTGCCATATAAACGACGTTACTATCAGCGTACACATTTTCAGATAATGAATCATCCACAGAACGTAAACAGAAATAATATCCTGTAAAAGACTTTATAACTACACAGCAACAAATACATATTGTAAATAGTAATAGCAGTAATAATATTTGCAGTAAACAAGCATATTGTTTCCATCGCAAAACCTAACGTTCTACCAATAATCTATCAGTTGTGCTTATGGAAAGCCCACTACAATAAAACGTATGATAATATGATATTCTTGTCATATCATACCACAATCGACACTCGGATCAAAATTTAGTTGTTATACTGCAAATACACTATTGTCAACGATTAATATGCATAAAACTCGTCTAAGGCAAAATTTGTTGACATTTTGCATCACCCTTTGCTTATAGCTCACTGGAAAAGGGTCACATACAAAGGCAAGCGCTCCATGATGCTTGGGCACCTGAAGTACTAGATGCATCTCACGTCGTTCTACACACTAGAACAATGTTTCAGAATCTGAAGTCCGCTAAGCACTGTCGCGTGAGAATCAATAATACATGCTCGTATGCCAGATTGTGTTAACTGGCACATATTTCCTCCAAAACCATATTTTATGGTGTACTGACTGGGTTGTGAGCGCACACTGATCATTTATCACAGTTGGAAAACGTGATTCGTTGACGATTTTGTTCAATCGCTACATATTCGCCTTACAACACGGTTGCTTTAACGACCGCGGTTTAGTCATTCGGTAGAGCGTCGGATTCATCTGAACCGAGAGCTCCAGAGCTGGATAGCCGGTCGAGTCACTCGCCTTTATTCCTTAAGAGATTGATAAATGAGTAAGTATTACTCTGTGAGAAAGAAACATGAGACTACACATAATGCTTGTCATATAATCGTTGTCGATTCTGCCTTTAAAATAAAGCATTCTTAGCCGATAGTATCAAAATTAGGATCAGTGTTTCCATCATCAACTTCATGAAAAGAAAAGCACTATCATCAGAACGTAAGAAAGACCGACATTTCAACAGCTGCAAAGTTTCCTTTCTTTCCTTTTTATTTTTCACATCAACCCAAGGTGATGAAAATCTTTAATAAATAAGCAAAATATACTCTTTCCGCAGCCAAGAGAGATTCCATTTCCGCAAGCTACAAAGCAGAAGTGCTAACATCGATAGTCTTTTGATCTTCCTTTCTTGGTGAGCACGTTCTTCTAAAAAAATGATGCATTCATCTTTTAAATTCACGCGTTAATCGTTACGATATCTTAAAAATCAGACACAGAATTACATTAAGTCTCAGCTGTGCAAAGAACCGTTCAATCTGCTACTATAAAACAGCCTGACATCAGAAACTCTAACGAAGCTTGGGAAAAGCTAAAGGATTGTCAGACACCTACACTTTCCTATGATTTACGAAGCCATGAAAAGAGAAATCAGTGTACTGTAATGGATAGGAAAAAACGCTTGGAGCATGTACTGTCTGGCTGGCATAGTGATAGCACTCTTTATTTTACTCTTTAACAAGATAAACATAGAGATGTTCAGTTTCACATTCTTCATATCTGCTAGGAAATGATTATGGTAAAAACAAGCCTCAGGGGTAGGAGTTCGAAGAGAGCCGACTCTCAAAACAAGTCCTGAGCTGCGCAGTAAGTACAACTTTTGACTTACAATTGTGATATCGTAGGTTTGAGTCTTTGTCGTGTCACTTACCTTTCATCTTTCCGAGGTAGACTAATAAATACTAGTTCATGGGAAGGAAACTACACGCTACAGTAGTCACTAGCTGCATATATGGGTAGCTTGCTCGACTAGCAGAAGATCGGACCACGTAAGAATCTTTTAATTCCTATCCTTTCAATGCGAAAGGAATTGTGGGCTATGAAAATGGAAGAATGATATACAATAATAAGAGGTATTAACTACCACCGTCAGTGAATTTATTACTATGATTTCTCTTTATGTGTAATAGTGTACCTTTCAGCAGTTCCTGCACGGCCGAATTTGCCTTTTCTTGATCTGCTTTCTCACAGAACTCACAAATAAGATCGCTGTCACTCGGAACTGTAAAAAACAAAATACATCTATTCAGCAATCAAAGATATGGTAAATAACTAAAATATATTAAAAAAACATTAACATAAAACGAATGAATATATGGAGGTTTATCTTGCTATTTACTCTACCAACCTCCTACCTTGAACAAAGTTATGTGAGACACGAACCGAAACGTCGGTGGTGGACAAATCATCCGATTGGCCAAATTATTTTTTGCGTTGTGTACTAATAAACAGTGTTCTATTTCATTTTTTTAAATCGGCCAGCTCCAATAATGCTACAGAGAAGAACTCATACCATTATACGTGGCATTCTAGTTTAACGGAATAAGAAATTTCTGGTGACATCTGTTCCGTGGACTCAACAAGATTGATGAAGAAATTGATAAACTGGAAAAACCGCCCACAGATGGGTCCTGCAGTACTTAAAGGAGGGAGATTTTGAATGCGCAAAGGAATGTTCAAACGACGGAATGAACAAACTATGGCGTAACTGAATAAATGGCAGAAAACGCGGCATTCTCCATCGATTCTGCCAAAGAAATACTTGTGATTTCAGTGAAGTTTAAAACCTTTAATTTAAGTGAAAAGATAAGCTTTTTGTTGCCATAACTAAAACTTAAGCGCTCCGTCACGTCTTACTTACTCCGGACATTTAAAGATTCGGACACGTTCAGAAGGCCAGTTCAGAAGAACTGATCATGACTGGTCCTGTGGTACATATCTTTTCTCCCGTTCATTGTACCGATTTTTATGCCTCACCTGTAAATTTGCTGAATGGTAGGTAGTTCCTACCTACCATAGCAATAAAATATAATGATTTGATTTACGGCTACGCTTAAATGGCAAATTTCCTAAGGTTTAACAGATCCAATAGAAATAAGATCGACCTACCACTCACAAACGATATCAACAGAGAATTTGCAAATACACGTGAAATATCTTGCCGTACTTGCATCCTTTTGGAGCACATGAGGGACCAACTTCTTAGGCTGCAAGTAAAAGTCTATCCAGTTTGGCAGCGGATTTTGATACAAAAAGTTCAACGTATCCATCAGTTCCAAAACCTTAGAAAATCCGCGGTAAGATCACATCAGAAGTACGTGTCCGGCACAAATGACTGTTGATACCGGATTAGATAGCCTGAAAAGAACAACATATGTCGCTTAACACAAAAACAAGAAATTCATGCGTGTGTTTGCGGTCATATTGGAAACAGCAAAACCAGGGTTTATTTATACACGGTTTGGGGCCTTCTAGCTCCAAACATAAGAACAGCTGTGAACGACCAAAAGAACATCCGAAACCAACCCAACTCCATACTCTGATGTAGGCCCGTGAGACACGGGTCCAACAGTCGGCACTAGTCAATCATCCGATTGACAAAATTGCATGCGTGCTGTATAAATAAATCGTACTTTGTGCTGCTTTTAGAAACAAATAATCAACAACAAATAACAGCAACGGTAAACGTCCATTCCCTAGCGGACTAACACTAGCGGAAGCACTGTGTATCGGACGGTTCTGAGCATATACCGAACTGCCAGTATAGAGAAACTATGACATCAGTCACGATTTAGGTAAGCTACTTAACGTCATTCAGCAATTAGAATCATCCGCATTAAACCTACACGTAGCCCTGTTTTATGGGTCTCGAGCTCTCGAAGACATCTGGCCTGCCACTTCTTAAATTCGTGGTCGGCGAGATCTAATATTGCTGCATATAACAAGATATACAATCTTCTAGCAAACATCCCGCTGCTGTGCAACACCAAATGCCATACATAATGTTCAACCCGTATCGTTCTCGATAATACTCCGTTTTGCGTTCTTTCGGCGGAAGGTTTAGATTTATCTAAATCAAGTTTAAGCAATAACAACAGATTTCACTGGGCTTGCATGAGTCTCAGCACAAAGAACAACTCGATCCTGTCACTTTCGGTTTTAATCAGTGCCTTTACTCAGTGTGACTTCATTTAAAGATACAAATAGGTCAGTCATATCCATCTACACAGGTATCAACTTCGGCTAAGAACAACTCACCTGACCGTCATTGCCACTTTCTTCAAACTCTTACTTTAACCTCACCCTAATGTCAAAGAAGTAGACAAACAACCAGAAAGCAACAAACACAACCCACCAATAAAATCACACCT